GAAAATGAAGCAGTGGATATAATTGCGTAATGACAGATATGAGAGGAACAGAGAATCCCAGCAATCGTTTCCTGTGAGTTGGCCAGCTTCCAGGCTGTCTCAATGGGCACGCTGATGTAAAGACAAAATGAAAATAGCTCATTCTCAAAGGTGGATGTTGGTTGGATTTTTTTTTCCCCTGCTCTTATTTGACTTTGCAGACTAAGGTATTGAAACAATTAGTTGACAGCATGGTGTTAGTTTTCTCACAGTAAATTAAGAAGATTAACCAAATGTGGAAATGTATTTTAGCTATAATCAGCAGATTTGAGACTGTAATACTTCGGCATCCTCTGAGGTTATGTTCATAATATTAGTCATGTTATTCCTTTTTTATAATGCACAAACTTGTCCAGAATTATCTTACTCTCGGTGGTTATTCAAAGACAGCAGAATTATTAGTTTTATTTTTGTTAGTTTTGTAACCCAGAAATGTAGAGGATCAGCATGCTAGCTGTTGCGTCACTCCACTTGGCATGTAGTATTGGCACAGATAGGAGAAACTCTTGTAACAGCCTTAATCTTTTTAAAAAATTATTATTATTAATACTTTTCCTACAGTAAATTGAGTAGTAAGGCATATTTAACATAATGATGGCAGGAGTGCACAACTTGACGGGCGGTAGTGAAGGAGCAAAGTAATATAAATATTTGCAGAACATTTCTGCCATAACTTAATGCTTTGCATATGAATCTTTAAATAGATCCTAAGTTAGTTTAAAGGAATGATTCCAGAGGGCTACATAGGTCCAGGCATTTAAAGAGCTGTGAATAATGACTGTGGAGCATCTCTGGGAGTTTTTGGCTCGTCATACAACAACAGAAAAGGGAAGGAGGAAACGTTAGTAGGAAGAAGTTTACAAATGCTTTGGGAATGGAGGAGGGAGAAGACACAAACCTTCCATGTACAAGTTTTAGGCAAGACTCATTTAGTAATTAATTTTTGATTGTTGTTTTTCTTTGGTATACTGCATTTTGCTGGAGACATTCACTTAGCAAATAATTGCAGCAGTTTTAAGTTGGTCCTGCAAGCACATATCTGCTGCTGCTTCAAGCCCCAAAGCAGAACTGATGGAAGGGAATGTACAAACAAATCTTGGTTACTCCATGCAACAACATCTGTTGGTTTAATTGAGCTACTGCAGGAGATTTTATTCAAGCTAAGCTACCAGTTGTGGCACCGAAAGCTCTGAGGGACGCAAACACATGGTTCCATACAAGCCAGCTGTGCAAGAGACCAGCAAAGGACAGCATAGACAGTAACTTCTTGAACTACTATAGGTAGATTTGCTAAGTTACACATGCTGACACTCTCATTTTCCCTTGGGAATTTTCAAGTGAAAATGAAGCATTTTGGCAGTGTGTTCATTAAAATCAGCACAGTTCAGACAGAACTGTGTGAGAATAGGGTTTAGCCATCTAAGATACTTTGTCCTGAAAGCATTATCCCTAAACTATACCAAGTACATTTTGCTTTCCAGGGATTGATCCCAAAGTGCAGAGCAGCATCTCAGCCTGTCTGACTGAAATCCAAACCTTCAGTGCAAACATGTCATCACTTATAGTTCCTCCTGAAGATTTCAAACTGGATACACTGAAGTTGCAAGGTCAACACCTTTAGGAGCAAAACATTGCTAGCTGCATAACCTTTATACATAAGCCACAGGGTATTTTTCTCCTTACTTGCCAATTCAAACTTATTTTAAAAGACAATCCTGCAATTTTAATGTTCTGCTTTGGAGTTGTCTGCTAAACTGATTCTGTCATAATAAAATACATCTGCATAAATGACTGTTTCTACAGGGACTTTCAGTTTTAATTTCAGATATCATTTTGCCAGAGAAATTAGAGGGAGAATACTAGTATATATTTCCAGTGAAAATTTTACAAAACTGTCAAAGCTATTTGTAAAAGTTTGAAATGGTAAGCCGACAAACAAACCTTTTGGTTTTTTTCCTGAATGACTGTTTAGCTGTAAGTCAGCTCCTGTCACTGAAGCTTTTTGAGAAGTACTTGAGGATTTTATAAGTACTTCTATTTTTATTAAATATATCTCTGAAAAAAATGTGCTGGTTGGAAGTGCATATTTTATTTGTTGGTCAGTGTCAAACTCCATTTTACCCATATCCCTAATTATGGGGCATATTGAGTTTACCACTATTTTAAATTGTTGAATGTGTGGGTACTTGCTTGTAAGTAATCCAGAGGATGAAGCAGTGTCCTAGGTAGGCTTTGCTTATGAACAGAATGATCAACACAAAGCATGGAGGTGAAAACAAATACAAGGTGTTCTGAGAGAAGGAAGGATGGAGCAGATCAATTAATGATGTGCGGGTAATTGGCTTCTTTGAAGAGTCATTCATGAATTACTAAAAGAGCAATTGCTAAATGAGTGTTTTTCCTTCCCGTGTTCAGGGGTTGAAAAATGCGTCCATCACTCATTAGCCCAAAGCCCGAGTCAGCTAGACAGAGTGAAAAAATACCTGGCACTCAAAGCTCACATTTAGCCTCAAAGCTGTGCCCTGCCACTCAAGAGGAACAAAACAGTCGTGCACTGTTTGTGACCTTCCTTTAGTTGTAACATAGTGTCAATCACAGTGGTGTTTAATTCTTTCCAAATTATAACATGTATCTCTTGTGTTTTAATTTTGCTTCACTCCCCACCTCACTTAACTTACTTTTCTTCTTTTATTCCTGACAAAAGAGGACACTGTCCCTCTCCATTATAATCAGTATGTAATCTGAAATTTGTGCTGTTCACCTTTCTTGCTTTCTTGACACCGTTTCTGTACCTTTACCCCACCAACTTTTAGTCTCTGATTGCTCGGTTTTTCTCTCCAGAGTTCCTTTCTTTTGATACCGTGGTTTCTCTTTCTAAGGTATCACTTCAATTCTCACTCACTAACTCCCAAGCAGATGGTTAGACAGAAGGCTAGAATGTGTGTCATGTCCCAGGGCTTGTGATGGTCCCAAGGCCTTGCACTGTAAATTTCCAAGTCCACAGGTTCTCTCTAACTGTGGGATCTAAGATACAGTGATCTCATTCTTCCTGCCTCTGTCTTTTGCCTGAGAGAGTTGAATTTGGAAGTTTGTTGGGTTATTCCTTCTTTCATCCACTCCTGTAAGAAGATTAGCTTCTACACCTTCCTTTAGTTTTGTGGTTACTAAAAAAAATTGTTTCTTTTCCCAGGTTCCTGTTCAATTCTAGTCAATGAGCAGTGGAAGAGTAACTAAAATGGGAAGTTAATGAATTTGAGAGTGTGTCCCTTCTTTAGCTTGCACACAGTTCATATTTGAATTGTTAATGTGGTATGCATTTCGATGGACATTTGCTTTCGGTTTTAAACACAAAAATAATAATAATTTCTGTGAATTTGATAACTTGCTGAAGCAGCTTCTGGCTCTTTTTTTAGCCAAGTTGATTTTCAAAGACTGGCAACATATGTTCACACTTGCAGTTTCAGCTGTGTCTGTACATCTAATGGGTTTTGTCTGCCTGAGGAGGAAATTCACTGTATGGTGGTTAAATATGAGCAAATGTAGTATTGTCTCTCCTGTGCTGGCTGTTGCTCCTACCTCTCTCTCTAGCACAAGCTACCTATGCATAAGATACAGAAGAGTATGCATTGCAGTAAGAATATGTTGAACAAATTCAACAGACCACACCTTGTTCTTCGGAGCATTTCAAATTTCTGAAGTAATTTTTTTGTAAACCTGTGTTTTTAAAAATCTAGAATCCACAGCCACCATGTGAGACCACATAGGCTTCTTCAGCTTTTTTCTTATCTGAGGTTGTTGACCTCAGGAGAGGAGGAGAAGGTTACAGGGTCAAAGTCTTTTCCTCCTTGGAGTTTGCTGCTTGCTGGGAGAGGGTTGGCTGGAAAATAGATGTTTTAGAAAAAGGGTTGAGGGTCATGATTTTAATTCTGTTAGGGAACAGCTGGTTTGAGTTTCTTTCCACTTCTATCTTCCCTCCCTTCCTCACAAATCCATGGAGAGAGAAAAATTTGTTCAGAGGAAGGCAACACAAAAATAAAGGATTGCCGTATTTTCATCTTTAAAATAGAACATGTTTGTTCTAGGACTTCACATTAAGAGAGAGAAGAGGAAATTATTAAAATATTTGAAATCCGTTATTGTTTCAAGCATTGAATTGAGATTGATCTAGAGTGTCAGAGGTTTATTTGTTTTCCTGCCAAAAGTTGAATTGTTAATAGTAATGTTCTAATGTGGGGTTTTGTGGATAAACAATATGCATTACAGTTTTAAATTTAGTGATGGACAAAGCTAATTTTGAATGTGCCATGTTAGTTTGAATGCAAGTTGCTGAAGGAAGATGGTTTGATTTGGCTGTTTCTGTTCAGATTTTCTTCATCTTGGCATGCTGCTTTCATGCACTAAGACCAAAGAGAGAGAAGGAAACTCACAACTCTCAAATGAATGGCAAACTAGGAACAGATTTTTCATCTGCAGTCCTCTGAAACACTGGCCTCAGGCTGTGTTGGTGTGTGGCTCAACAGCAATCAGAGGTCATAATTTCATTGGCGGTTAGCATCAGGTTTAATTTTTCTAATATGTTACATTTACCAAAATGTCTGGTTTCAGTTACACTTATGCACTGACTGAATCAGCTTTGAGCAGCATGATGTTTTAAGGTACCTGAAAGGCTACAAGAACGTTTATGGAAAACATATGCTAATTGTTTTTAACCACTTTCCTTTCTAAACACAAAAACGTGTTTTTGGAAAGCTATTTAACAGTAGTAGCTAATGACAGTGCACATTTATTCTAAGAAATGAGCACAAGGAATAGGTAAAATAGTTGTTTTAACAAGACTGCCATCTACTGATTTCCACAATTAAAAATATTCCTGATGAGTAGATTGTTCATAGGTTTTTTTATAGCTTTATTTTCAAGATTTGCAAGATCAGGAAAATTACAAAGTCTTTCTGTCACCTTAGGAATGCGACCAGGTTCACATTGATGACGTGTCCTCAGACGACAACGGTCAAGATTTAAGGTACGAGAGAACTCATTAAGATAAAAATTTACTTTGCAAATTCCTTCTCGAGAAAGCGATAGACTGCTGGAATGCTTACAGTAGCCTGCTCTCTTTTAACTGTCCTAGTCTTTGCAACCCAGAAAACTGAGTAGCTGGTGATTGAATGTAGCCTTTTGCCTTTTATTAATCTGGGAGTTTTCTTATCTCTGGCCAGCACCTATAACTTCGGAACGGATGGCTTTCCCGCGGCAGCCACCAGCGCGAATTTGTGCCTTGCGACAGGGGTGCGTGGAGGAGTGGATTGGATGCGAAAACTGGCTTTCCGCTACAGACGAGTAAAAGAAATATATAATACCTACAAAAATAATGTTGGAGGCAAGTGGTTCTGGAGTATCTAACAGATATAGATTAGAAGTGGTAGATTGGAAGAACTGGTTTCTGTTCCTTTTTTAACACAGTAATGTTTAGTGTTAGTTTGCAGTGTGCAGAAAATTGTCTCTGAGCTAATAAAAGCAAAGGAAAATGACAGAGCGTTATATAATTTCAGTGCAGACATGCCCTTACCTACTCCACAGGTCTTCTTGGTCCAGCAAAAAGAGAGGCTTGGTTGCAACTAAGAGCAGAAATTGAAGCTTTGACGGATTCTTGGTTAACACTTGCACTGAAAGCACTCACCCTCATTCATTCGAGGTGAGTACGAAGAATGAATGAGGAAGGAATCTCTAGGGTGTCTGCTGATGATACAGAAGAGGCTGCCTGGTCTGGTGGGAAAAGATGTTGAATATGGAGAACCTTATTCTCATTCCTTGTTCTGGTCTAACCATGCCTTTCTACCTTGCTCTCCTGTAAGGGGGTAAACCCCCCATTCTTTCTAAGTACCAATAATAATAATAAATAAAGAGGGGTTCTGATGGGAGGGATGTTATCCTTCTTTTGTTTGGTTTATTTTGGTGATTTTTGTTGTTGTTGTTTTGGTTGTTTGTTTTGAGGGGATTTTTTTGGGGGGTGGGTTTTTTTCTGGTTTGCTTTGTTAAAAAAGGATGTTTGCATTTTCTCTTTCATAGGACAAACTGTGTAAACATTCTCGTAACAACTACTCAACTAATTCCAGCTCTGGCAAAAGTCTTGTTGTATGGACTAGGGGTTGTATTTCCCATAGAGAATATTTACAGTGCTACTAAAATAGGTGAGCTGTTTTTATCATGTTGTGATACTTTTACAGCTGTAATTCTAAATAAAAAGATATTGTTGTTTATATATATATATGTTTTCACTGTAGCAGATACAGAGACTACTAATACCTGATCTCATCAAACACTTTGTGCTAAAGCATCCTCAAATTGTTTTTCAAATATTTGTCATGATACAGCACAGGAAGCTTCATATAGCTCTATAAACACTGATGCAGCCTCCATTAGGAAGAAACATAATTGCTTTTTTGCCATCGTTTCTCAAAACTGTGTAGCAGTTGAGAAGGCTTTTTAGTAGGCTGTAAGTACAGAACACTGGAGTCTCCCCAGAGTAGCAGAAGAAATTCTGTAAAGGTAAGCCCTGGCTCCATTTGTTTTCATGGGCTCTGGAGCAAATTTCAGTAAACAGTTTACCAGAAGCAAGAACTTTTAGCTGCAGAATGTAATTGTTTAAGTTCTTGCATACTGACTGTAATAAGTTTCATTCAGGCCAATGTTTGTTTCTCTTTTCTGGTTCAGTATAAATGATGTTATTCTGAGTATGTAGAAGTACATCGGACCAGATGGCAATGGTGCTTGTAGTTTTTAATGTGATTATGACATATCTGTTCTGTCTCAGATTCCCTCAAAATTGTGGGCTATGCAAAAACATTTTTCATGTGTTCTTAAGTATCTATACTACAAGAAGCTCAAAGGGCCCAGAAAAAGTGGTGTGTTTTTTTTGTTTGGTTTTGTTGGTTTTTTTTAAAAAAAATAAGTTGAGAGTTTTATGGAGAAATTTGAAAGTGTTGCCATAAAAGATATAAAACTGTTTCCTGGTTATCAAAGTCATGGTACCATCAGTCAAAACTTTATAGTAAATTAAAACCTTTAATTATAATACTTTAAATGCACATTTTAATTAAAACTTATTTTAATAAATATTCACTTGTGACTTCACATACACAGGACAGAAGGATATTTTTGGAAAAATGTGTTCAGTCACTGACTATCACAGGAAATCATGAGATTTTTGAAACATGTCACGATTCAGAATTTTCAAGCACCGTTTCAACCTAGTATTTGATGGTTTCTTTTGACTGGCACTACTGTTAAAGGGTATCATTGAGTAGTTTGGCTTCTCTGCTGACTGGAAGGCTTCTTTTAATTTCCAGCCTATTTTTTCTTCACACTGTTACTGTTCTGTAGCTGAAATAACTATTCTTAAAAGCAAGATCTTTCCCATCTGTTGCTCTGTAGACACAAAGGTAAGCATGTACCATGACCGGACTAAAGTGACCTTTCAGAATGGGGAGATTTGAGAGAACTCAAAGCATTTATTTTCTTTCTGGCTTCTCAGTACCAGTACCTGAAGCTTTCCAGCATGAGTACAAATTGAAGGAGGGTAAATTTAGGTTAAATATTAGGAAGAAATCCTTTACTGTGCAGGTGGTGAGACACAGGAACAGGTTGCCCAGGGAGGTTGTGGATGCCCCAACCCTAGCAGTGTTCAAGGCCAGGTTGGATAAGGTCTTGGGCATCCTGGTTTTAGTAGGAGGTGTCCCTGCCCACCCGGGGTTGGGACTAGATTATCTTTAAGGTTCCTTCCAACATTTAACTTTCTATGATTCTCTGATACTATGGTACCTATGCGTAGGACTGGAGTGCTGACATTTCCCTGGGTCTGTGCAGCGAAGGAATGAGCCATATTAATGGATCCCAGTGCAGGATCAAGGACCTTGCCCATATATTGGATTACAGGCATTTAGATCTAAATCTTTTGGGTGACCTTCTAAGTCAGGATACTACTGTTTTAGGAGCCATGATTAATCTTGTCACAGGTTGTAGAGAAAAAGCTAGAATTTCAATTCAGAGTCAATCAATTTACTCGGTTCAGGATACTGGCCATAAACAGATGGTAGAGAATTCTTCTGGTAGGGAAATTCCCCACAAAACCTGTCTCAGATTAGGGAATGAGACAAGGTGATATTGTGGACTTCTAGTACGCTATGTATCATGGCATTGCATACTGAAGCACCTCATGGGTCAATTTTTGGGTTGCACTTCAGCTGTTGTGGCGGGAGTAAAGTTGCAATTGGCCTTGCTGCACCATCCTGTAGGAGAGACTCTTCTCTCCCAATAGCTCTGCTTACGTATTCAAAGTGTCGGGGAGATCCAGGTTAAAAGTTACTTATTTTTATGCCATCCTATCATCACCTACCCTGAATAGTCTGGTCTTTTTCTTTCAGGAAAGGAAAGTTGTTTTGAAAGAATAATTCAGAGATTTGGAAGAAAAGTAGTTTATGTTGTTATAGGGGATGGTGTCGAAGAAGAACAAGGCGCAAAAAAGGTAATGACCTTTCTTCAGTGCGGGTTGTTTTCAAGAAAGCAAAATTTGTCTGAAAGCAAAATTGTCTTTTCTTCTGCATGGGACAGCATGAACTGCCATTTAGATTTGGGATATCTTTGCCTTATGAAATACGTCTTGAACATATCTAGCAGAAAGCTACATAAAACTGTAGCTAATGATGTGCCCTGCTGTTCTCCAAATTCATACATTAAGCTAGCTATGTATGTTTGATGTATTTCAAAAAAGGGGCCAGAAAATGGACCCCGGCTTTTGTGCCAAGAACTAATAGTTATGTTTTCATTGGCAACCCAAAATACCACATAGGATGTTATGAATATAAGCAAAAAATGGTGGTTCTTACTGATCAAAGGCAGTGTGCTATTTGACTGTATGAAATATGTATATGTCACACCTTGAAAAGGTATGTAGGACTGGAGTAGGTATATATAAATTTCTGTTTTCTTGTGCATCCATAATTTGGATTCTGCATTCAGACAACTACCTGTGGCTTGGCCTGCCAGCCAAGGTCACCTCAGATAAATGAGCAGAGGGTACTATTTGACTGTCTTCATTATTTCTTGCTTTCCTCTGGGAAAAAAAGGGAAGAATTCACTCTTTTTTCTGCCCAATGTGGATTAAACTCCATAAAAAGCAGCACTTCCCACTGGCAAATAATAGGCATTATTTTTAGTCTGGCTATTCTACCCAAGTACAGCAGATACAGACTCTTCCCTTTGAGGAATGAGGCATAATATTGGCTATTTGAATAATTGGAGAAAGAGTAGGAAAATGGGTATTTCTGTTCTTGCTTCCTTTCACGGGTAAATTGCTTTTGCACAGCTGTTTTTTCACCAGAAAACTGTGGTACTTCTATATCTCCTTCCACTGTTGCTTTCTAAATTGGAGAAGAGAAACTAATTAGTCCACATGGTGTTTTAACAGCCATTGACTCATTTTGCTTCATGAAATCTGGGTTTTGTGCCCCTGAAGCCTTGCGGGCAGGTTCTCCGCTCGTCCCAGCACTTCGCAGAGTCTCAGTTTCATATATCCCTTTGGCAGACTGACGGGAACAGTTTGCTCCTTTCTCCTTCAGAAATGCCTTTCATCTTTGCGAAGAAATGTTTTCCCGCTGTAAATGATTACGTTTTAAAAGCTGTATTTGAGATGGGGGGGGGGAGAAATTCCTTCTCTTTGTTCCTTTTCTGTTGCTCAGTGAAACAGTGTTGTATATGATAATGGCAGGAGTAGTCCTTTTGGTAACATTATCTATTTCAATGCTTTTTTTTCTACAGGAAACATGATTCAGAAAAGTATAAGAAAAAGCCTTTCCAGTTGCTAAGAGAAGTAGCAGTATAGAAAGTTCCTTTGTGCCATTACTTTAGTGTATTCTTTTTTGGTGGAAGGAATTTTCAGGTTGAAAGCATGTTAGATGCTCTGGATTAAATTATTTGCTCTAGCAATGCCAGAGAAGTCAGTAAGTAGACCAGCAGCCCTGCCTTTCTGCAGAAACTATCATTTTGATTAAGGAAAATGCTTCTGTGATTATTGTCCTGCTTCTTGCCCCGCCAAAAAAGAAATCATCATTTCACACTGTGAAAGCAAGATTTGCCTCTTATGTTTTGGGCCTCACATCCTGCAAGAACAGAAACCACACAGTGCCTTATGGTGTGAGGAGCTGATTCCAACTCTGATGATGTCTTTTTGGTTATCTGCTTCTGAGGTTGTTTTTAAGCTTACTAGGAGGAGTGAGCATGGGAATGCACCCTAGTGTGTACCATGCTTCAGGTTAAAGTCATGTGCCCTGTCCGAAGAATAAATGGTATCGTGGTGTTAGAAAACAGTAAAAGCCTAGACCTTCTCTGGAGAGTGTGCAAACAAAACAGAAGCTTTACTTCCACAAAACTACCCAAAGCACATTGATCCAAAGTGGCATAACTGTTCTGTGATGTACCCCATTCCCGTGCTTATCCCCTAAACCTTGGTAGCTGTTTTCTTCTTGCCTTCCTTCCCATCAGCACTTTGGGGTCTGCGGTGTTCTCAGGGCGGGGACAGGTTATCCCTTTGCACAGCACTTGGCTGAAGGGGTTTGACCTGCAGTGAAGGCGTTAGTATATGTATGTCTCTTTACACTAAGAGCCTAAAAAATACACCCTTCTTTAAATAGCACTTCATTGATTACCTGTAATCTGTAAGGAGTCTTTTTCAAGTGAACATATAAATTCAAACCTATGTCATTTGAGAGGGTTTTTTATTCTGTGTTTATTTAGTGAAAAAAATATGAACTTCCACCTTAGAAGGTAAGAAAGTTAAGGTTTGTTATTAAAAATAATTTACCAGTAGTTTATCAATTGCTACATCAATAAACAGGATTTTCATTTATGCTCTTCGTTCATGGAAAATCCTGAGTCAATACAAGAATAGGAAATATAAAGGGTACATTTTAAATCTTTTTATTATTGTCATTATTATAAGCATAGAAACCTTGTTATGCCATTTAAAAGATCATTGTGCTTTTCAGAAACATTTTTAGGATAAACCATTTCTTGATAAAATGCCTCTTTTGATTGATGTAAATAAATACAATACACTGAGAAAACTGCACACTCTTACATTTCTGGTAGCACTGGACAAGCCATGGTATCAACACCTTTGTTTAGCTGTCACTTCCAGCAAAACATTTTATGAGACAATTAAAATTCTCAGAGCATTTGTGTTGCCGATTGAGGAATAATCATAACCTTCTGGATCAGTGTAGCAACCAGCCAGCTTGGCTGTAACACCAGGGTTCACACAAAGGTTGCAACCTTCCTATCAGCTTCCCCAGGAAAAGGAGGAGAGGAAGGCAGAGAGAAACTGGTGTGAGAGCCAAGGGGTGTTCAGGAGCTGCTGGCACTGGTGTGGGTGCCATGTGGGTCAGAGCCGCCGCCTCTGAGTGCCACTGCAGTGACACAGCTAATCACAGAATAAGTTTCTGGGCTTTTCTGCCAGAGACTCCATTGTCTTAGCATTTTGTTTTCCTTGCTGGTTTTGTGTTTTGTTTTTGGAAGGGTTTTGTTTGGTTGTTTTGTTTTGTTTTGTTTTATTTTGTTTTGTTTTGTTTGAGCTCATCTTTTGCCTTTACTTTTGGAAACACAGTTGGGAAATATTGTAAGGCAGAAAAGAATCCTGAGTTTTTCTGCTTAGGAGAATCCTCCAAAGGATTTCTAGTTTGTGAGGAGACAAGGGAGGAGGCTCTCTGCACTCAAGAGCTGGATTTTACATCAGGTGATTCTGGAGAGCCTGGACAAATGGGCTTCTTCTTTTGTCTCCAAAATCGTCATACTGCCTCGGAGGGAAATTGTGAGGAAAAATCATAAATCTTTGTGGAGCAATAAATAGAATATAAATGGGTATGCAATATGCCACTATTTTAAAGCTCACAGTCATACTGTACTGGTCAGGTTTGGGATTGGAAGTAAAAATGGCTGGTTAGGAAATTTGGCAGGAACACAAGAAAAATACGGTGAAAGATGACAAAAACTGATGAGTTTTCTATTCAAATCCATCACAAATCTCAGGAGTAAGGGTTTTATATAAATATGTATTCATTTA